TGGGGAGTGGCGGGCGAGCGGGCTGCGGTGCTGTTTAGTCCTTAACGGAGTGTTCGCACCCGCAGCCTCGAGGCCCCTCCGAGCTGGAGGGCGGCATGGGCGGCGGCGGCCGCGGAGCCATGGAGCGGGGCGGAGGCGGCTGGGGCCGGGCCGGGGCCCGGGAGCACTCTCCTGCCCTCCCTAGCCGCGCCCTGCGCGGGGAGACACAGCGCCCGGAGCCCGCGGTCTGCTGCGAGGCGCAGCAGCTCCGCGGTCCACGTGCGACGGAGTCGCGTTTGTTTATGGCGGACCCGCCTTCGGGCGGAGCACTGGGCCGCCAGCGCCCGGGGGAGGGGACAGGAGGGGGGAGGGATGGGGGCTGAGGCGGCGAATCTCGCCTCCGACCCCGCCGCGGCCCAGGAGTCACAGGCGCGCCTCCGCGTCGCCGCCTCCAGGGACTCTCCCGGAAGAGACCCGCGCGCTCCCGGGCTCGGCGAAGTCGCGGTGAGTGCACGCGACGCCCCGCGGGGACCCTCTGCTGGGAGCGGTCGCGGGACCTGGGCGCTAGGAAGGGCGGCGGGGAGAGGCAGAGGAAGGAGGGGTGCCAAGGCCTCCTCCGTGGCTCCCGGGCAGGTCAGGGGCGGGCGCGGCCGAGAGGAGGCGGCGTGAGCCACAGGCCAAGTACCCTGCCAGGGGAGACCGAATCCTCCGAGCCCGCGCTGGTCCCGCGTCCTCACCTTCTCCGCATCGCAGGTCCGAGAGCCGAGAAGGGGAGGCCAGAGGGAAGGCCCGCCCCCCAACACACACACACTCGGAAACCGAGCGAGAGGCTCCGAAGTGACTTTTCTGCCCTTAATGTCCTGGAAACGCGAGGGCGAATGAACCTTGGCGCCTTCCCTGGAGGAGCTGGAGGCAGCTGGGGCGCGCGGGGCGGAAGGAGGGAGGGAGCCGGCTGCTGAGCCCAGCGGTGAGGCCTCTCCCGGGGCGCCGGCGGGAACAGGCCCAACTGCCCTGGCTCCCGCAGCCAGAGCGGCCGCGCAGCCCGATCCGGCTCGGTCCTAATTTCAGGGAGTCGCCGTTGGTCGGGCGCTTCAGGGCGAGGGTCGCGGGGCAAGGTCACCGGGAGGGCGTTAATGGGGCCCATGGTGATGGGGCAGAAGGCAGTTGGAGAAGGAAGGCCCAGTTGGAGACGCGGTTACCAGGGATCCCGGCGATCTCCCTCAAGGTCACACTGTACCTAGAGAGTCCTCTTGTCCCGCCTCCTCCGCCCCCTCACACTCCTGCAATCCGGGGATAGGTATGCGGTCCACGGTCCTCCGCACATCCCCGCAGCGGCGGTTGCACAAACTCCCACCCCTTCCAGGAGTCTGAACCCTCCAATGTGGTGCGGACGCCCGCTTCCCAGGCGCCCCGGATCAGGGACAGGCGCAGAGGACGCAGAGCAGTTGCTTGGGGCGTCGGGTCCGGGGGGAGTGCCTCTCGGCCGTGTGCCGCAGGTTGTAGATCTGTGGGTCTGTGAGGCGCCTGACTTGGAGGTCGGCACACGGCGCCGCGAGTCCGGACGCAGGGATTTTTGTTCTTGGTGCCACCGCTCTCTCCTCGGCCTGAGAGGAACCTGCTTTCGACCGTCGTGCTTGCAGCAGGCGCTCCTGGCCTTTTCCAGGGACCCCCCCTGGAGGTCAGAAGTTTGAAGGCGTTCGAAGCGGCATAGGCTCCCTAGGTGGACTCGATAGTTTGCGCAAGCCTGGGCTCTGCCCCCACCTGCCGCTCGCGCTCTGCCAAACCCACAGCGAGACCAAGGCTCTCAGGGATGGTGCCCAGAAGCCGCGCAGCCACGCAAGCCGGGAGCGCAGAGGAATCCGCACTTGCCATTGGGGTTTTGAATCCAGGCGCTCTTTCTGTTTCCAGGAGTGCGCGCCAAGGGTCAGGGCCACGCGCGAGCGGGTCTGCGCCCTGCCGAAACCCCGCGCTGCGGGCCAGCTCCCGCGCCCGGAATCCCGCGCTGGGCTGCGCTGTCAGTTGCCCGCTGGGGGCTTGCCGCAGAAGGGACAGGGGCTGCGGAGACCAGACCCCACCGCAGCTTCCGCCGCCCCCCAACTGTCCCTCCCCTCCGCCCCCAGTGCTCTCCGGCACCTCCCTGGCTTCGGGAAGATTTAACGTTTCTCTCACCCCCACTATTTCTGATTCTCAATTATGGACGCTGGAGAATTCCTCCCGGGCTTGAAAAGGATTACCCAGCTCGCAGAAACATGTGGAGGTGGGAGAAACCCGACAAAAAACAGGAACGGAAACTTTCCTGAAACCAAATTTTCCGGATTTTAAAGGAAAGCGCACTTGAGCTCTCGCTACCAGGTCTTCACGATGGCAGCCGCTGTTCACGCATCGGCAAAGACAGGTTCCAATCGCGCTTTGAGAGGTAGCATAATGGAGTGTTTGAAGACTGGAAGATACGTGGGCGTGGGATACTTCCAGGCCTAAAGCCTGAACCAGCAGAGCCCGAGCAGGCGTTTTATACCCGCTCCCCCAAACACATTCTTTCACAACTCCCCGCTCCCCATGACTGTGGGTCTGGGGTCCCCGACCGTACCACCGAAAACACCAAAGGTACTTGGGTGCGGATTTCGAGGTTTCCCAGGTGGGAAGGAGAGTAATGGCTAGTGGAATAGTGAAGGAAAAACCTTCGTTCCTGGTAGAGCCTGGGGCCCTTGCAGCAGGACCCTTAGGACGTACACCCACAGGCCGTTTGTGGGACAGTTAGCATGAAGCTGGAAATTCTGTTTAAACTAGAAAAGCACTGAACAAGTGCTAATTGGAGTAATCAGGAACATTGGCAGTGACCACGGCCTGGGACACCTGCTATGTATCCCTCACTCCTGCTGCGAAGAAACACTCCTGGCCCACGCATTGGGCCTAAAGCTGAGCGCCTCGCCCAGAGAACTGGCACCAGCCTCGCGGGTCCCAGGGGAGAGGCATAGATGCAGCGGAAAACCCACCAGTCTCAGGCATCATCTGGAAAAGGAGGTTCACCTCCTGGCCCGGAAGGAGCCTGCAGAATCCAGAATGAAGGGAGGTTGGGGGCAGGAAGAAGACGGGTAGGAAAAAGGGTCGAACACTTTGAGGTCGGGGGCTTCGGGCGCGCGACCTGCTCACAGGGCGCCCCCACCCCCAGTCTGTCTCACGCGCGCTCGAACACGCCCCCCTCGCTCCCCATCTCTTAGAAAATTTCCATTAGGAAACTGACCTGGAAGAAATTCAGGCCCCAAGAGGAAAGGGGCGGGCCAGGACCGACCCACATCTGCTTGGGTTTCCGTCTTCAGATGCTCCGCAACTCTTTTCCCCCCGGACCCCACCCCGCGCCTACCTGAGGCCCTTACCCAGCAGAAACCGACTTCCGCGTGAGATCAAGGAGAGAACGCGCACATGTTCCACCCAGATGGGCTCCCGGAGAAGCTGCAGCAGTGGCCAAAGGAGATCAGAGACCCTGCTACTAAGGGGGGGCGGGGGGGGGGCTACTCCCATTCCTGGCATTGGATTTCGAACCTCTGAAGTGGAGTTTAAGGAGAACTTCAACCGCACCAGCAAGCAGAGGCAACAGAGAATACAGGACTACGGGGATTCAAACCTATGTGATCTATAAGCCCTTGTCTACACAGCCAATCAGTAGGATATGGTTACCCCAGAAAACCCCGCTTGCGTCCAGCATCACATATACGACGATTTCATGGCTGGGAGGCTTTTGGGGACTGAGCTATCCTCGAGTGCTTCAGTGTTTCACTTCTTTCCTTCTATAAACCCCGTGGAGACACCATCAACTTTTTCTGGGGTCTTTGCTCTTCCCAGAAAGAATCGGACCACAATTACAGTTTACTACTCATTGTTTAAAAATAAGTACGGGTATAGAGAGCAATTTCGTAATAATTTACTCTTCCAGAGATCAAGACTCTGCTCGCTTGTCCCCAAGTAGAGAGGGGGAGAAGTTTATTTCTCCTTTTGTTTTGTTTTTAGTAATTTATTTCATTGGAAGTTACTTTTTGGAGAAAGTGTTTGCTTTTAGGTCCCTCGGCGTATCTGATTAGATGATTACACCGCAGTAACCTGTGTTGATCCGCCTTCGTGCATGGGGTCCAGGGATCCTGTCTCTCCAGAACCTGCAGCCCTCGGCCAGGGTGCCCGGGCCGCAGCTCGGTCTCCCCCAAGAGCGGAGGGCAAGGGAAGGAGGCATCCCAGGGCGGGAGATTGCTCCCACCTTCCGGGGCGCCTGTGAGGGTGAGGCTGCTTGACGCTGACTCAGCTCTCTGGGATCCGCGGAGAGCGCGGCCCTTCTCCTTGGACTTGGTGGTCCAGGAAACTTCGGGTTCTGGGATTGGGGGCTCTAGGGGGCAGGCTGGGACAGTGCTTCGTGTCCGAGGATTGGACTAGCTACTGCTTACTTCTCCCCTCCCTTAAGGAGATGCATTTAGGGGAACAGAAACAGTGTCACTGGTAATTAATTACAGTGATTAGCAAAGTCCCTGAGAGAGAGCCACTGGGAGCAACCGAAGCCGCGCCAGGTTCGAGTACACTTGGTGGCCACGTGTTTCTTCTAACTTTACCTGGAGCGAGGGGTGAGCCCTTTCCTCTTCATTTTCCTTGCCTTTTTCCCAAGACCGGCCCGGCCCTCTCCCCGGTCTCTGAGAAGATGCCGGAGCGCCCCTCCCGACTCTCACAGACATTTAGTGGCCTCCGCGGAGGTCGGGGACCCGTTCGGAGCGCAGGCTTCGTCCGGCTCCCAGGAGCGGCGCTGGGGCCCGGCCAAGGATTTGGGGGCCGAGGGAGAGGGGAGCCGGGCGTCCCGCCACCCTCCCGGGACCCACCGCCCTCTCCCGCAGGGCTCTCGGCCCATCTTAATGGAAACATCGACTCAAAATCACAGGTCGGGGAGAGGCAGCCCTGCTTTCGTCTAGAAACAATCTGCGGCTTCCAGGGAGCCCGGGATCCCGTCTGGAAACCCCTGAACTGAAGGAGTCTTAGCCTGGCGTGCAAATTCCTCAGTGGTTACATCAATTACACACCGCCTTGAAATGTGAAAAACTGATTAGTTCATTAATGACGTCGCTGACACAGCCCTTCAAAACACCAACCCAAAAATACCTTTTAAGTAACAAAACAAAACCTATCCACCTGAGATAAACATTTCTGTACATCAAAGAAAGCACTAACATGATGGGCTTAAAATTTTTTCTAGCAGGCAATAATCGTAGTAGCCAACCCTTAATGTAGGGCTGACTATGATATAGGGTAGTTACAGTACTTTAAAGACACAAATTCGTTTCTTTTAATTAGTAGGGGGGGGTCTATTTGAAAAGCAAAGCTATCAGTGGGGAATCTCCTCCCTAATGCAAACAAATCTATAGGAAGAAGCACGCTAATTCATTTCGGGGATTATGTAGAGAAAGTCACAGAAAGGCCGGCGGGCATGGGGACGGGTTAGGTTGGCCCCTTCAGTCTGGCCCGGACGCGCGCGGCTGCCCCAAACCCGGGCGTGGGCTTCTTCCCGCGTCCTGCGGATTTTTATTTTCTTTTAAAGGCCGACGTGGAACATGGGCTTCCTGAGGGGTTCGCGTCCGGGAACACACTCATCCCTCCCGGGAGGAGAAGGAGACGAAGTCCACCGCTGAGGGCTGTTCGGGTCAGAGGTTCTGCCCCGCGGGGCGCGCGACAGCCGGACTTCAGATCTGAGCCGCGGCGGGGCCACGCCAGCGTGGGGACCGCACCTCATTTGGTCCGACACGGAGCGGGTGGCGGGGGCGCCCTCACCAGCCCTGCTCGCCCTGGGCCGCACACGGGCTGCGGGGGCTGCGGGAGCTGCGGGCCACACTCGGGTGCACGACCCGGGCAGCTGGACGCGGTGAGGAGTCAGGCTTCCTCGTCGCCAAAGGTTTCCTTAATTCCTTAGAACGGGATCGGGACTCCCACGCCTGGCGCTGGATGCGGGTTCAGAACAGGATGATTTCGGAGGTACGTCTGCGTCGGGGTCGGGCCTTGAGCGCTCACCAAGTCTCCCGGACACCCGCGTTGTTAGAAACGCAGCCCCGGCAGGTTGGCGGAAGGGGGCGCAGCGCGCTCGGCTGCGGCAGGGAGGGGCGCTCACGCACGGTGTGTTCCGGGCGCACACTCCTAGGGGCCCTGGAGCGCGCCGGGCGAGGCTTGTGTGGGGTGCGGGAGCGCGTGCGGGACGCTCGCATGCGCGCCTGGGGCCGCGCACACACCCGGCCTGGCCCTGCTGCGGGCAACCCCTGCCCATATCCCACCCTCCCTCGCACTCAG